TTCCCCAACGCGAACCTATATAAATATCATTTTCTTTAGATAAAGGTTTTACATATCTTTCTTTATATCTTTCTGATGTGGTAAGGGATTCATTGTATTTAATCCAACCTAGCATTTCTAAGAAGAGTTTTGGGAACTTAGAGTCCTTTATTTTATGAGAAATGGGTGGAGGAACATTATTTTTATTTTTTTGCTGAATTTTTTCTGTGATAGATGGGTCATTAAAAATTTTTTCTGATTTGTCACGATTTTGCTAAAAGCATTTCACAATGAATGAACCATCATAATGCGCATGACCAAACTACTGCTAATCCTTGTCATGTATGCATTCACAAATCGGACATTCTAGATATGCTTTCTGATTAAAGTATATGAAATACTGGGAATTTTTTTCTTTGATATCTCACTCTCCAAGATAATCAGAATATTCTTGCAGAACTAAATTAGCATATTTTTTTAGTGAATCTTGACCAAGGGTTATTTTTTTCTGATTTATTTTCTCTACACTAAGTATGCAAGGGTGTACTTCTAAATTCATATTAATTGGTAGTTGAACTCGACTGTCATTGAGATTGTACCACCTATTATCTAGTGAGAATTGAAGTATACACTTTACGTGATCTTTTTTGCTAAACCAATTAAGCAAAGACAGAAATTTCTATCAGGTAATCCTCGATTAATAAACTTTTTATATTTTTCTCCAGTTAATCTGAATACTAATTCTGTAAATTCTTTTAGCTCTAGATAATCAACAAGAAGAGCTGGAGTGTATAGAAGGTAATAACTGCATTTATTATCATCAGATAATGTCATAATTACTAATTCTTTAATAATTTCTTTCCAACTACAATCAAGAATTCGATACAATGCTCTTACAAATGAACAACAAATGCTGAAAAACACATTTTTAGTATTAATGTTTTCAGCTTCTATTCTTTCTTTAGATGCATTAATATCAATTACTGGTCTTAAAAGCCATTGCCCATTAATACATTCATGAATTCCAGGTAATCCATATATCTTAGATATGTCATCTATGACAGAAAACTTTGGTGCTTGTTTATCTTTTTGGTCAATTTGGATAATCAATCTATTGGTTAATTCCTCTCATGTATATGCATTAAGCAGACTAATTCCTTCTTTTGCTCTGTAATTAGGTAAGAGATAATCCTATAAATATATATCCTCTAATGATTCTTTATTATTTGACATATCTCTAACAGGTGAAGAAATGATTTTACAGATTTTATTTATTACATCTTTTTGTGTAAATTTATCATCGAATCTTTCTTGCCATTTAGGATATGTAAGACTCGCTTGCTCTGTGGATGATGTCATATTAGACACTTGTTCTTCTACTTTAGGAAGAAGTTGGAGTATTGGAGACTTAATAGTAGTCTCAGTATCTGACTCATAGTCAGAACTATAATCACTGCAATTTTTTGACCCACTTTCAGATATATTATCACTATAGACATCTGAGTTACTTGAATAGTTATCACTTTTTCTGCCTCTGTACCGAATCACTTGTGTGCTTTGTTTACTCATTTTTGGTATTTGGTTTTTTTATTGGTATGTATCAATCTTTGTTCGATTATATTATTAGAAAATAGTTTGAAAAAGTTTAAATTATTTTTTTTTCATGTCTGGTAAAAGATGTCAAAAAAATTGCATCGAATTTAGTGAGATAAATAAAGTGAATTGTGATCTCAATTAGTGAATACTTTGGGTATATAAGTTCAGTAATATATTATAAGAATTATAGAAGTTATATATCTGTTTCAATGCGATAATATGTGTTCAAGGTATTCAAGTGCATTAATATATTATAAGAAAAATGGCAGAAGAATACCTTTTCAATGATATGTTTTTGGGTATATGCTCAATGGTATGTCATCAAAGGTATTCAAGTGCAGTAATATATTATAAGAAAAATGGCAGAAGAATACTCTTTCAATAATATGTTTTTAGGTATGTGTTTAATGGTATGTTTTTGGGTAGATCAAGATGAAGTAATCTTTCAGAAGAACACCTTACTTTTTAATAATATGTTTTTGATATATTTTGGGTATATGTCATAGTAGGAAACTTCAGATTTATTTATAGTAAAAAATAATGTTATATACCTGCCCTCTTATATGTCAGAGATACTAGCTCTGCTATATATAACATATCCGATAGCATTTATATAATAACATGGCCGGATAGCATAGCTGATAGCAATTACACAATAACATAACCAAATAGTATGTATATAATATAGCCTGATAGCAATTACGCATACATGTTTGATAGCATATCTGATAGTAGACATATAGCATAGTTGATAGCAATAGGTAAGTAACATTAGATTTATTTATAGTAAAAAATGAAGCTATATACCTACCTTCTTATATATAACATATCTGATAGTATGACTAGATAGCATTCACCGAGCATAGCCCTCACACTGGACCCCAAATAGTGACACATAACTGGATACATTATTAGCATATTTTTTATAAATCATGAGATATCTAAATGTGATAATACTGATGATGATATCATATTCCTATTGTCAAAAATGTGTCATAAAATATATATCATAATACTAATGATGATGTCATATTTCTGTTGTCATAACACTGACGATGGTGTCACATTTTTATCATCAAAAATGTGTTATAAAAATTATATCATGACATTGACAATGGTGTCGCATTTTTATCATCACAACACTGATGACAGAAATCACCAAACCAGCAAATGATATGTCGCATATAGAAGTGATGATGTGAACATAAAATCGTCATCATAGTTGTGAGATACCCAAGTGTGATGACAAACTTATGAACTAATCGTTACTCAAATAATAACGAACTTGTGAACTAATCATCACTTAAATGATGATAAACTCGTGAACTAATCATCACTTGAATGACAGAGTGAATACTAATATATCTTTGATGACGCAAGTATGAATCATTTGTCACTTGAATAACAGAGCAAATACTAATATATCTCTGATGATGCAAGCACAAATCATTCATCACCTGAATAATAACAGGCACATCATTATAAGTAGGTATTAGTCTAGAGCAATAAGTAGGTAACAATCTAGAGTAAGTAGGCAACATTATATATATAATGTTGCCTACTTTTTGTTTAATGTAGTAGTTGTAGGTACAATATCAGTAATAGTAGTAGTAGATGCAATATCAGTAGTAGTAATAGTAGATGCAATATCAGTAGTGGTAAAACTATTGCTAGTAGCATTATTAGAACTATTGATACTATTTTGAAAGTAATGATACTGTTATCAGCATTGTTAGTGATATTATTGCAACTTTGATAATTATTATTTTAGTATAATAATTGCTATTAGCATTGTTAGTAGGATAATTATTATTAATTTCATTTTTCAGGTCTATTAGACTACAATTTTTTAATAAAAATGATAATCCAATAGTATCAGTAGTTTTAATGCTTTTATTGCTTTAATAATTATAAACATTATTGCTTTGTTCCTATATACTTGAAGTTGAAAATCAGAAAGCTTTTTTAGTTCTTTAATTTTGCTTATTAATAAATAAACTGCTTTTTTCAAAAATCTAATTTCTAGTATTATAAAATAAACTATTAAACCTATTAGTATATAAATAGCTTTATTAAAAAAAAAGTTTTAATAGTACTTTTATTATTTCTATTAGGTAATCTAGAATATTTATTAAATTATCTATAACTTTTTTTATATAAAGAAAAGTGAAACCTATATTTGCAAGTAGATTATTAATATCAATTTGAACAAGATGACATTGGTAATTATTTGCAGCTTTACAAAATGGTTCTTAAATGATTTTAGCTTTGTGAAGATGTTAAATGATAGCTTTGTTAAGATAGTATAATAAAAAAAACTAATTGATGTTAAGATATTATTTTAATTTTTTAAATGCTTTTTTCATATATTTTGTTTTTTAAAAAAAAAAATCAAAAATGTTAAAAGTTTTTTATAAAAAAATGTTTTAATAATATCAGTTGTTCAGTTAATTTTAAAAAAAAAAAAAAACAAGAAAATAGTTCTTATATAATAGTCTATCTTAGATTTTAATATGTAATGATAAAGAGATAGTAGAATAAGTTGTTATACCTTAAGCAGTATTGTTACAGGACAGTTTTGAACATAACTTTGGACATTTTTAGACATTTTTGAACAAAAATATAAATTAAAATTACTTACAATTTTATTAAAATAATATATATAGTTTTCTAAATAAAAATATTCAAAACCTAAAAAAATATATAATTATATATTTTTTAGACAAATTTATTAATTATTAAAACTTGAACATACTTTAAACACTTTTAAACACTTGGATGTTTAGATATTGGACATGGTCTAATAAAGTCTTAAATATAGTAAATATGACAACACTGCTTCTAAGTAGCAGATTATGAGTTCAAAACCTACTGACAGTAAAATTTGGATAATCATCTATATAATATATAGACAATATTATAGTGATAGCATTCTGTCGATCAGTTAGCATAGAATACCTGTAACTATAGTCACACTAGCATGACTAGCAAGTTTGAGCATCTGTGTAATCTTGGTTACACAGAGTAATGCAAACTAGTACAGAGTGATACAAATCTAAAATAAGTTCTTAAGTCATATAAATCTGTAGAACTGAAAAGCCAGAGCTTACTTGAAAATTCTAAGCAGAGAGGTAATATGAATCTTCAACAGTACTATTGTAAAGACTAAATCTAGAAAATAGATACCAATATAAAGAAATTGGATAGGCAAAAACCTTAGGTAAAAAGTATTATTAACCAGATTGCCAGATTTTAAACTGAAAAAAAGAATATTGGACTGGTTTTAATATATTAAGAATAGGTTATAGTCCTTTTGAGCTATCTGGATTAGGAGTCTGAAGTCAAAGCAGAAGTATACTAAAAGTACTAAAAATATGCTATAAAGTCAGTACTGGAGTCTGGGTAAACTCTGTAAGAATAGCTCTTGTTAGTATTCTAAAAATGTGTAAATAGTTAATAACAAAAGATCTTCTGTATCTTACTGACAGATAATGTATTTTGAAATATGTAATAAACTAAGAACTAGTATAAAAAAGATAGGTACTATACTGCTCAGACAGTATATCAGTTAGGTATATATAAAAGTTAGTTGGAGTTATATTATGACAAAGCAGATGATTAGAGTATTTAAATAGATAATCTTCTAGTAGATTATAGGTATAGCATTTAGTATAAAACTTTGAAACAAACTACTTAAATAGAAACCAAAAGTTTAATGCATAACTAGTTGTACTCTCATCTTTATAAAAATAGTTATAATAACTAACTCAATATAAGTCAATAAAGTATTGTTACAAAGTATAGCCTTTAAAAAAAAATAATAAAAAAATAAATATATATCTAATTAGGAATAATGATATTATAGTTATTACTAAATAAAATATAAGTGAAAAGAAAAGTATATTAACTTATATAACTTAAATAAAAGTATGATATATTATTGATATAAAAGCTAAATTCTACTAACATGTATTTAAGTAAAGTATAATATATAATATAAAAAAAAAAAGTTAAATCAGTTAATATAAGCATAAAAAAAATATAACTTATTTATAAATTAAAGTGCACAGATAAATTAATATCTGAGTTAAAATTGAGTCTAATCAGACTTGCATAATATTGCATAATCTATAAAAATTAACTTGTATATTATGCAATTTTAATTTTTAATATTTATATACAATATACTAAAAGTATTAATTACAGATTTGTTTAAAGTTATAGAAAAAAAAAGAATACTATTAATTAATAATAGTTTATATTCAAATAAAACAAAAGATCTGACAGACATATTGATGTTTTTAATAAATTTAAAAATCTGATCAAGTATATTATAATTGTTAAACTAAAAAAAGCTAGACAGTATATTAATACTAATAACTTTATTACTATAGGTTATATCATTACTTCTGATATATTATATTTTATAAAATAAATTAAAAAGCTTATTAATAATATTAAATTTAATAACTGTTATTTTAAACTAT